TTATTTGTATGCTGAACTTGCAACTATATTTGGACAACAAATGCATGGGGTTTCTTGATGGAGGAATTTAATTGTAAAACCTCCATCAGTCAGTCCTTTAATGAAACGTTGCTCTTGTAATTTTGTATGCTTGGTTTCTCACACATTTTAGGAAAGTTAAGAAACTTGGTTCCATTGTGATTCTCAAGTTGAGACACCTGGGAATTTCTGGGTGTTTCCTTATGTTTGCATTTAAATTACTTCTCAGAAGATTTACTTCTAGGCGTTTACTAATGTGTGAATTGCAATGATTTTTTATTTCTTGTTTTTTTTTTCCCCCACTTTTCTTCTTCTCTAACCCTCACCCCAAATCAATGGCATCAATATATATCGGATTGAAATGATATTTATGTCAGATTTCTTTCGTGATAGGCAACAAGTGCTGGAGGGAAAGAGCAAGAAGCCATTAATTTCTTAGAAAAAAAGATGAAGAATGATCCTGCATTATCCTATGAAGAAACTGTGCAGGTATAAGACGCATAATGTTAAAAGTCACTATAGATTCTTGAAAGTAAAATAGCTGGAAAGATACTTGAAAGTCACTTTTCATATATCATCTAAGTTTTTTAACTGAATTCTGAGTCAAAAGTTCAAATGAAATTTGTAAAAGCTTGACTGAGTAACTGCTGTTTTTCTTATTCTCTTGATATGGTTTTATTTTGTTTTAATTTAAATGTGAAACTGCATTTTTGCAGTCCCTGTTTTGACTTGCTAGAGTGATTACTGCGATATAGAGATCTATATCATTCATGATAAGCTGCATTCATTTGTTTGATGTATGAAAGATGAACATGTCAAGAAACATAAAGTAATTTCAAAATAAGATAGAGTGAAGGACGATATGTTGATGGTGTCGTGTTTTGTTGTATCAGCATATTTCATGAATTATTCTCTATGGCTTCTTGGGTGATGTATTATTCTGTGAAATAATCTAAACTTTCTCGATTCCAGTTTTGGTTATTGTAGACTAATCTTTTAGTAGAACTACATTGAATATTTTGTTTTAAGTGGGTAAAACTAAAGATATACTATTTTTTCGAATTGGTAATCAGGCTGATGAAATAATATTTTGTACTAGTAAGGCTCTCATTATTCTCATACGACTACCAGCATTTGCAACAAAAGCTTGGCCAATATTTATTTTGTAAGGACAATTAGTTTTTATTATCTATCAGAATCTTATAAATAGAATCAGGTGATGGACAACATTTTTTATTGGAAAGGCCGAAAGAGTCTCGTGCTGCTATATATTATGCTGTTTTACTTGAGCTATGTGAGAGCTTCTTTTAAACACTCAAAGAAATCAACTTAAACTTTATTCCTCGGACTCATTCACGAGCCAAAGTTACATGTAATATACAGGCAAATTGCGAACAATTTATTCTCGTAAATTTTTTGTTTTTTTTTCACTGAAATTAATGGCATCTTCTGTTTGTGGGCACTCAATAACACAGCTATTAGCCAAAATTTTCCCAACAATGCCACGTTCTTGTTCATAATTGACCAACTTCTGATCATGATTCGTGAGTAAATGTTTGTATCTCTCCCTTGTAAAGTACCTTTATATTTCTTTAGATTACTTCACTTAAAAACACTGCTTTGCTCCATTTCCTTCTCGAATACATTTGATAGTTTGCTTGTACCTAGTGAGAGAAAACTAAAATCCCTTGGGGAAGCAAGATGCTCGCAAAACCCAAAATTTGCATGAGTATGGAGGTTATACAGGCCAAAGTCAATTACATGGAAAATTAAAATTATATATTAACTAAATGTGGAATTAAGAGTGAATGATTTGGTATATATTTATGCTTCGAAGTTACTGATAGTTTGATTTTTTCTTTTTGCAGACTGCAATATCAGCTCTACAATCTGTTCTGCAGGAGGACTTTAGAGCCAGTGAGATTGAGGTAAATTCTTTCCGAGTCTTGGTTTGAAACTGTGTGACCTTTTTTTCACATCAACTCATCATTTCTTTTTCCTCTTCAATTTTATGGTGGCCTATTTTTTTTTATTTTATTTTTTTTTTTTCTGGTGCAATAAAACTTTTTGCTCTGTTTCAGGTGGGTGTTGTGAGGAAAGAAGATCCAGTTTTCAAAGTTTTGTCGACTGAAGAAATCGATGAGCACTTAACTGCAATTAGTGAGCGTGACTGACCTCATTTGGTCTGGAAAATGTTATGCCGGCCATGAACTATGTTTGATGATTAATAGAGAATTTTGGATATGTCCGAAATTTTTTTCGTATTCTGTCATTATGTACTGTATCAATGGTCGTTCGGCTGAAGTTGAACTTTTGGAATTNAGATTTAAAATATTTTGATGTATTTAATTTAGACTTTATAAAACTTTTAAGGGGGCGATTGGATATAAATCCAATCGGTTATGATCCAATTTAGTTGGTTAAAGTAGGTTATTTTGAATAAAGTAAATTGAATGGATAATTTAGAATTTGAAATTAAATAATATTTAAAATGAACTGATTAAAGTTGGTGTAATGTAAAGTAAGAGAAAAAGTTAAAAATAAAAGATTAAAGTTGATGTGATTGTAAAAGAAAATATGATTTCATATATTAAATTAAATTTCGTTGCAGAAACACATAACTATGACATCTTATGCAAAATTATGTTAATTATGGTACCAATACCAATCGGTTGCAAAATTTCGTTACTAATGCACCAAATTTCAGTAGTGAATCCTATCACACGTGCAATCTTGTAGCTTGTGAAGTCGGCCTAGTCTCTCAGGGTTTGGTGAAGACACGGTTGAGCAGGATGTGCACCAACGGGTTCATGCTCAGGGGCTCGTCTCTCAATAGAAGACGGGAAAAGTCGGGGTTAGCAAGTATCCATCGTGTTGTCGTGGTCAACTATTTTGAGTTTGGTCAACATCTTGGAGTTGACCGGCACGCGCATGAGGAGCTCAACATAGGAGAATTTTCGGTTGGTTGATACCGAGGGCATCGGTTAGTTCGAAAAGTGCGATTAGCCTAGCGTGTGAGTGGATGATATCGAAAATGTCAATTTCACCCGAACATTTTAAGGACATGGAGTTGATGAAATATACCATATTTGTGCTTAAGCATCTAATAGCTCTTGACTTGAGTTTATTCCGTTAGGCAATGCCTTCGGTTTGTACTGTACTATTTGTGTGTATTTTATGTGATGCAATTGTTAATGTTTACTATTTAAGTATTTATAGAGTGGGCGGCTGTAATAACTAATGAGCATGTGGTGCAGTTATGTGATTTAAGTTTGGAATGGGGTATGCCTAAAGACTAGAAAACATAGCCTTGGTCGGACCAAATAAACGTTATCTATAGCACAATTACAAACCAAAACAAAACAAACCAACCCAAAGAGGCTTAAGCACACAATCTAACAATCATGACTATTCTATATCACTTACTCATGTAGCCCTTTTATTTTAAAGTAGCATCACTTACTCATGGAGCCTTTTATTTCAAAGTAGCAAACATTTTACAGATAGTTTATGGATAGACTTGGATAACAGACCTCAATCCTAGCACACGCGCAATCTCGTAGCTCGTGAAGCCGGCCTCACAAAAAAGCTTCGCCCATTCTTTCTCGGTTCTCTCTTTTCCCCCGGTCATAACCATCATCTCGATGTCCCAAAAGAGTTGATTCTCCATTGCCATTGCCTTATTCTTTTTCTCGTTCTCTAGCTCGTCGTCCACAACTATGTCGATTATAATAACTTTTCCTCCATCGTCTCTACTCGGGATAGCTTCCTTGCATCTCTTCATTATTTTCACACAATCTTCATCCGACCAATCGTGCAGTATCCACTGCGCTCGTCATTTAATCCACACATCAAAAAAGATTAATGGAAAATGTACATGAATAAATAATAATAAAAAAATGCTTAGTTTCAAGAAAAGGGCACATTTGACAATAGAGAAAATTCAATTTTAGTCCTGTATGTTATCAACCATAACTTTCTCGTCCCCTTCAGATTGTTGTTTTGAATTTCGTTGCTTATGTTTACAATAAGTTTACAAAAAGGTCCCCTTCGAATTTTCAAAAAAGGCTGCAATTCCGTCTTTTATGTACGCTCAGGACCTTTTTATAACCTTTTGGCAAGCATGAGGGACGAAAATCAAAACAACAATTCAAAATAAATGAAAACGTTAGGGTAGTGAAACATATAGGACTGAAATTGCAATTTTCTCTTAACAATATTACCTTCATGAAAACTGCATCGGCACGCGGAATAGATTCGAACATATCTCCCCCGACAAATCTCAAATTCCAACTCCCTTCCAACCCTTCGACCACGTGCGGGAGGTCGAGCACGCTACACTCCAACTCGGGAAAAGCATCGGCAAAAGCCTTGGCCATAGTCCCGGTGCCACCCGCCACATCAACCATCGACCTCATCCCTCGAAAAACGTGCCCGCAATCCCTAACGATCACGCTGGCCGCCAGCCTGGCGTCGCTCGCCATACCCTCGTTAAAAAGTCGGTTTAGCTCCGGGTCCCGTGCAGCGAGCTCCCAAAACGTGGCCCCGTGGGCCATCGTGAATGGCGAGGGTTCATCACTAGTGAACCAACGACTCAAATAATGCCACGGTTTTGTCAAGGCACGGTTGAGCGGATAACGAACACATGGGATCATGGTCAGGGGCTCGTCTCTCAATAGAAGACGGGAAGCCGGGGTAAGCCAGTATCCATCCGAGTCGTTTGACTTATCAGTTATTTTGACTTTGGTCAACAGCTTGGAGTTGACCAGCACGCGCACAAGGCGCTCAAAGAAGGAAGATTTCAATTTGTTGATGACAAGGGCATCGGTTAGTTCGGAAAGCGTGATTGGCCTTCCGTGCGAATAGATGGCATCGAAAATGCCGAGTTCGACCGAGGATTGTAAGGACATGAAATTAACGAAGCATAGAGTGTGACTCCAAATTTGGGCTTGAGCATCCAATAGCTCTTGAGTTGAGTTTATTCCATTAGGCAATGCCATATTTTGGTTTGTGATGTGTGTGTGTGTGTTTAACTTCTTCTTTTTTTTAATGTGATATGCACTTATTCTTGTTTGCTACTTATAGAGGGCTACTAAGCAGTTATGACTTATGTGATAAGTCGAGTGCCAACACTAGAACACATAGGTTAGAACGGTTCAAAGAAAACACTATTTTATGCAAAAGTACTACGGAGTTATGACTTATGTGATAAGTCAAGTGCCAACACTAGAACATTTAGGTTAGAACGGTTCAAAGAAACACTATTTTATCCAAAAGTACAACGCAGTTATGACTTATGTGATAAGTCAAGTGCCAACACTAGAACATATAGGTTAGAACGGTTCAAAGAAACACTATTTTATCCAAAAGTAGTTATTTCACCCCCAAGACCATACATTTTATAGTTTTTAAACCCAGACCCGTGAATTGAACCAGACAGACCTCCGAGTCACCGAGTCACCAGTTCAAATGTTGGATGATTGAGTTAATTGTTGAACAAGAAAATTTTAAAAGTTAATAAATTGTCTTTCAAATTACACGAAACTGATAGAATGCCACTTAATATTCATTTCCGACCAGAAAATAAATACCCAAAAATTATTAGGTCAATTATAACTCGTCGATGAATTTAAATAGCATTTCTACTAAGAGTCGACTCTAATCAAACGTATCACAACATTACCATTTTTAAGCTGCATCAAGAGTCAATAGTTGGCAACACTATGTGTTTAGATACAGCTTGGACAGCTCACTACTTTTCATTCCCATTCTTCACGGTGCCTTGTAACTGTTAAATTATCTATAGTTGAAATTAGCTACTCTATCCTTGCATTATTGGCAACATTAAATCATATTTATGTGTTGACCAGCAAAATAGAAGCTAAAATAGTGGGATTATGTCTACTAATGTCAGAGTCAACTTGTCTAGGAGCATTTGCGTAGATCACAAATTGGAGAGTAAGATCTCAATGCTGGTCAGATTTGGTCTTTTGTAATTCTGCATTTTCACAAATAGAATCGTTCTTTCAAATAAAATTAATGAAACTCATTTTTCCAGCACTCTCTTCAGACAAAAGAATGATAATGCCACCGAGAGAAATTTCATCTACCAATTTTGGTATTCATTACGTCATTTTACTTCCTGTAAGGATTGTGGCCGGATTTGCTGTTCACACAAACTAAATAAACATGCACCACCGTTTTCAAGAAATGGTTGATGCATCTTTCATCATTATAACACTAAACACAAAAAGCTTATTCAGTATCTTCTAGCTTTGAAATAAGTTCTGCTCCACAATCGTCATGGTAAATCATTCTCAACACTGGGGGATGATTTTATCTTTCCTAAGGGATCCAGGGTGTTAAAGGCAATTGGTAAAGGGTGGTCGGCGTTGACGAAAGGGATTCGTTGGTCCCTCGGTAATGGCAATAAAGCTAGGTTCTGGCGCGACAAATGGTGTCATCTTTCGACGCCGCTGCATTTGCTTGCGACGGGACCAATCCCGGAGGATCAATGGGAGTTACCGGTGGTGAGTTTTGTGACTGACGATGGCGCTTGGAATTGGAGTTCTTTTGCGAGCCTGTTGCCGGCGAGTGTGCTACTGAGAATTTCTTCGATCTTACCTCCAAATGACCTCACTGGAGAAGATGCTATCTATTGGGGACCCTCGGAAAATGGTTGTTTCACAACGAAATCAGCTTATGCCTCGCTTGTTCCACCCGCGCCGAGGACTAACCGAGTGTTATGGAATTCGATTTGGCACTGGGTTGGCCCCCAACGCGTACGACAATTTCTATGGCTTGCAGCGCAGAATAGACTATTGACAAATATGGAGAGACATCGTCGCCATCTAACGAGCTCTCCGTGTTGCATGCTCTGCGGGCGGGACGCAGAATCCGTCCTCCACGCCTTGCGTGATTGTGAAAAAGCAGCCCAGGTTTGGAACCATTTATTACCTGATCAATATCATGGCCCTTTTTTTAACTTAAATTTGCATGAGTGGTTGATGCATAATTTAATCAACAAGATGCATGTGAATGTTGAGGGGTGGGAAACATTATTTGGTGTCACTGCTTGGAGAATATGGAGTGGCCGAAATGAGGCATTACTTGCGGATAAAGAATTTGTGGTCCCACAGAAAGTTCGAGAAGTTGACAAAATAGTTAACAACATTGATGCGGCTGTCTCGGCCGAGAGGATTTTGGGAGGATTGGGGGTAGGAAGACAAACCCGTTGGATCGCTTGGTGTGCCCCTCCAGCTGATGTGGTTAAAATCAATACAGATGGATCTTTCATTCAGTCAACAGGTATGGCATCGGCGGGAGGACTCGTGCGTGATGTCGGAGGCCACTGGCTTGGGGGATTCGTCATGAACATTGGGTATACTACTATCACTGGAGCCGAGTTATGGGGTCTATTCCAAGGACTCCAACTAGCGTGGGATTTGGGGTATCGGAATGTTGAAGCGGATGTGGACAACCGAAAGAGCATAAAAACAGTCATACATAGAAAGGAAAAAAAAAAAAAGAATATAAAAAGGAAACAAACTTACATGGAACGCTTATCGTTGAAATCGGAAGTTATAAGCTAAATGAATAGTAAAATAATAAAGTATGAATTTATTTTAAATCGCGTGTGCTTTGTGTTGTAGGTATTTTTCTTCAAAGTAATTATAGTTGTGACTTGTGAGTTGTGAGAGTATTTTATTTTTAGCATGTATATATCGAAGAAGAGAGGGTAGAAAGGAGAATATATAAAGCGTGAAATAATGCCGTTAGAGAAAAATAAGATAAAGATAAGATATTAATTCATCATTAGATTCAATAAATTTTGAATAATTCTTTTATATGGTCTTATTTTTAAAAAGATAAGATATTAACATATTTTATATGGTCTTATTTTTAAAAATTTACTTTTTCTTTTTTATGTTTTTACGTAATTATCGTACATTCAGTTTATTTAAACTAGAAAAAGTTTTATATGAAAGTGTAACAAGAGTATAATTGTAACTGAATCTTTAGAAGAAAGAAAAATATAATTATTATTTTAATATAATTGTGTGTGTTTATGTAAAAATTTATACATATTAAAAATTTAAAAGTTTGGGCCCACCCCACTAAAATGTATGTAGATCCACCTCTGATATTCGGGGTTGATATTATGTGTTTGATAATCTAGGATTAATGATTTACAAGGTTTAATGAAATTCATGAATTTTAGAAAAAAATCAAGAAAGGGAGTCCAAGTTTGATCTTGGTTTAAATTGTTTATCATAAAGGTTCTAAAAAGTTTAAAATCTGAAAAAATGGAATTATTATGCTTGCTTAAAATTTAGGATTAATTGAGGTTTTTAGATCAAGTGCATGCTTAAGAATAGTAGTGGAAAGAGATGAATTTTTGGTTTTTATATGTGTTAATTTGATAGTTACGCATGAGTTTTCAATTGGATTTGAAGGCTGGAATTTATGCTATGTTATAAAGTGCAAAAGTATGTTTAGTTGATTGATCTACGTTGCTATTTTATATTTGATGTTCGGGAATTATTGGCATGATCAACATGTGATTTCTGATTTCTGTCCCTCTGTTCATGAGCTATTTTGGCCTTCAAGGTCGAGTTTCTTCATGTTTCACTCTTCGTAAGAATTGTAGTTCGTTTTGTTGGCTTTCTGTGAGCTCAAGAATCTTGCAAAAACCTGTTGTATTTTAGAAGTTATGATCGTTTTAAAATCAGTGCGCAAACAGTTTTTTGAAAAGCTGGCAGCAGGTTATAAATTAAGTTTATATTGTTTACATTGCTTTAACGTGATCAAATGCAATTAAGGTCTACACGAAAGTTGTAGTTCTATTTCTTAGGTTCAAGAATCATTCAAAAATATTTCCTGAGTAAAAAGTTATTTTTTATTTATTGGGACAACACATGAGTAATTCAAATTTCTGACAGCATTTAGGTTTTGAAAGTTAGTCGATGTTTCACCTTCTAAATGACATTGCTTGCTTCTATAGTCTAAATGAAAGTTTGTAAAGCATGTCTTAGGATCATTTTTGGATCAGAATCATGTTCATATGAGTTATATACTGAAAGTTATGTATATTTTAAAATCGATGCGCATGACAAGTTTGTCCGATTTTCGGTATAGTTGCGTTTTGTGTATGAAAATAGATTTTACCGTTTATATGCATGCCTTTGTGATCGATATTTGATTATCTGATGTTAGATTGAACCTTAGATGAATGACAAGTATTGTAGCAAATTTTGTTTTTTATTGAGTACCGAATCAAATGATTCGTTCCCTTGGTCGATCTCTGGAGGAAGGCGGTTCGGAATCTATAAGTGGTATTGATAACACATAAAAGCAAAATAAATCCTAAACATTCTAATCAAGATAGGATTGGAATTAATTATCTACTAAGAAATATTAACAATGCAAGAACATATATCTACCTAAAATATGAATTAAATAACGATGAAAAAGTTAGGAGTCGGGGATAATTAATTCGAGTTCTATTTGCAAAACCGGGCCATTAATCGTTCGGTTCCAGATTGACGCTCTCGCCTAAACATCTAGCGGTTCGCTCCCAAAAACTTTTCGTAACAAGGGATTGAACATAGACGAGCAAGTTCGAGCATACAATACTGGCAATTATTCAATCCCAATAACTTTTCGTAACAAGGGAAAAGATATCGACAAACATGTACTTCAATATGAAACCTATAGACTATTCGATTACGAAATCGTGTATCTCGTATGAGCCTAGTTATACGACTTCTCCCCTTTCGGTAATAAAAGTCGCTAATTGAATTAGAAGGGATTTAATCAATTAAACTATTAGATAGGAAATCGATGCCCATATGCAACTAGTTATATTCGTAATGTCATGATCATTCATTTATTATAGAATTTAAATACAAAACTACCTTTTAAAAAACAAGTAAATAATAAAAGCCCTCAAAAGATTGGAATAATTTGTTAAAAATTATATAACTATTTTTTTCCTAAATTATTGGATAGGAAATCGATGCCCATATGCAACTAGTTATATTCGAAATCTTGTAGA